GTAAGCTCATAATTTCACATATCAAAAGCTTTGGCAGAGATTGATTTAGCACTCAAAAAAAAAAGAATGTTTTATAGTTGATCTACTCGTTAAGTCAACGTTAGTTTCAGTTAATCTAAAGATCATCGAAGCGAAAGTTTAAAGGCCAAAAAGGAAGCCATAAATTTGTTTAAATTACTGATCTACTATAAGAGAAAAATTGGATTCTTGTGCCTATCTCACAAATTGGCTATAGTAGGCAAAATGTATACAATAGTCATAATTAGCATATCGAATTACCCGAATATACCGCGACAACTCTGTGAAAGTCACTGATTCATCGCCAGCCTACCGTAACCTTGCAGCAGGGCCCTAATGAGGAAGCGGATGCTATTTTCGTAACTAGCAAGTTATTATTTCAATAGGTAAAATTTTAGCGAAATTCAAATTCGTGGGATTCAGCTTGGAGTAGCTTTTGCCCTTTAAAAGTTTCACTTCAATGTTTTCTGGGTTTCAATGTTTTTTAAAGAGCTTTTTGTTAGCTTAGCAAACAAGTAGGCCATCTTGTCGGGCGAAGCTCGTTCTTTCCAATGGCGTATAAGTCCATACTGACTTTGTACAATTTTTGAGAATTTTGAGATCGAAAAGAAAACTGCACGAAGTCATCCGACAACCCAGAAATCTGATCGTAGGATGAACCTTTTATGTATTTCATAATAATCGCAAGTATCCAAAGATATAGTTCTCCTGAGCATTGCTAAGGGAGCTACTGAAGAATTTGACATATTACGTTTTGGGTCTCAATTGTTTTTCAGTACTAAATTTATCCTTTTATGGTAGACCTGATAGTTGACTTTTATCTCGATGTTGATCAATGTTTTCGAGTTCTATCAACTGGAAAATCTGATTTTTATACGAGACAACGAGAGTCGTCTAGCTGTTTTTTTCCTGATTTTTGTAGAATCAAAATCAGTCGGGTGCCATGAAGAAGGTAGCACAAAGGGTAATCAGTCACTTACCTTCTGTTGTTTTTTAACAATTGAAAATCTTTTACTGTACTTGCCGCTCTTTGCTTTCTTTTTTTCCAACTTTTATGTTTTTCTTCTAATTGAACCCTTCAATATACATAGCTCGTTATTGAAGAATTTTTATGGGTGTATTGAGCAATTAATTGTACTCTTGCCAATTATTGTACTTTCAGATTCAAAAAATTATGGGAGACGAATCAGCTCCCAAATCACATTCGCATGAAGCAGTTAACACGTAAGTTGAATGGCAATTTCAGTAAGTTTAGCGCACATGGTGCAGTACACATTATACACCAAATCCATAAAACGCAAAGCTCAATTTTACTAAACTTGAGTGACACGAATTGCAAATTGTGGCTGGTTCAACTTGATTTTTATCATAAATATGACGCTGTGCTATAGCAAGTTAAAAATCATCTGTAATTGCAGACATGAACGAGCTCGTCTGATGAAGCGGGGACATCGACCGCAACGTCTTCGACTTCCTACTACCTTCCATGTTCCTGAACCTTCGCCTTGCACACCATGTTCAGTATTCTCATTTGATTTACCCAGCAGTCCAGTTGTTATCACAGGGCGTCCAAAGTGGGCTTTCTAGTTCTCTTAAATTATTGATTATATCGACTTTTCCTAAGCTATACTTCTTCTGCAGGTTCTCTCGTTCGGTCAGTCATGGATCAGCGCTCACTCCAAGAAGCATATTTTCCTTTGAAACGGCTTTTGGTTTTTCCTCACCGAAGAGCCCTCGA